TGGTGCCATGCGATAGGGTGCGCGGGATATTGGGGCTGTGCCTGGCTGCAACTCAATACAGAACTCTACCTCTCTCACCGGGGGTAATCCAGGTATGTCCTGAAAGACATCCTGATACTCTGAGACAACTCTAGTCTCCAATAACTCAGCACCCTAATCCCGTCGTATCACCTCCTCGATGTATGCCAGAAATGACTCCGCAAGTCGGTTGCCCTGAGAGGTGGCTACAATTATCTCGGACCCGTCGGACACTCACAATTTGACTGTCTTCGCAAAGCAATCAATGCTAACATGGTAGGAAGACAACCAATCCATACCAAGGATGACATCGAACTCGGACATATGCAACACTATCAAATCGACTATGAACTCCGACTCGTCTAAACTGACGGTACACCTCCTACAAACGCTCTCCAGAAGCGATACCTCTCCTAAAGGGATGGAAACAAATAAAGGGGTGTCTAGTGGCTGAGCTACAAGCTGGAGTCTAACCATAAATGCATGCGATATGAAGGAATGCGAAGTTCCCGAATCGAAAAGAATACGGGCGGGAAAGGAATTTACAAGGAACATACCCTCCAAAATTGCTCCATGATTGTGTGGAATAACCGCATAAACCCTGCCTGTGGTTGAAGACTGCTCTGCTGCTAGAGCTGGAGAAAATGGGACAATCCACCCCTGAGGAAACTTCTGAACTGCTCGAACTTGCCCCTCAGTCTTCTGCTGCTGCTGAATTGGACCATTTCCCTTCTGAGTCCTTGTTAGTGCACTGCGGCATTCTAATGCCTTGTGTCCGACCTTGCGACAGTTAAAACAAGTTCCCCGAAACTTGTGCTGCTGTCGAGCTCTCTGATCCTATTGAGATCCCTTCTTATGAGGGCCCTGCTGATGCTGTTGAGGTCCAGTCAAGGGTCTCTTGTTCTTACCCTTGTCTCCGACGTGCACCCTCTTAGTACTCCCTTCCTTGTCCCTCTGAAACTTAGCTGTCCCATTTTTTTGAGAAATGGCAGTTTCAGCTACTGGTGGTGGTGGTGGTGTAATGTGATTCGTCACAAGCTCCTTGATTGCTGTTATCCTAGCGACTAGGGGAGCTATAAGATCTACTAGGTACTGGGGAGCCTGCTACGGTTCAGGTGGAGTTTGTTGTGGTTCAGCATCTCCAGATCTCTGAGTACGTGACATATCATATTCTGACATCTCTGGTCAAAAGAAAATAAGGGTTTAGGAGTCAAAATAGACCTCTATAAATAGCGTATCACAATAAAATTTTCACAACATATAGTATTTGCACAAATACTTTAAACTTATAACAAAATAGTTGTCATAAAAAAAATTTCTCAAATTTATTAGATATACGCATATATCGTCCTCACTCATACTAGGAAGTCCTTACGGACTCTATACATGAATCCTAGGAAACTCCATCCTAGCTCCACGACTCGACACAGGATGATCCTAAGGATACTGGAACTAGAGCTCTGATACCAACTGTGACGCCCCTGGGTTCACTCAAGGCTGCAGTCCAAGGTAAAACCAAGAATATCAAACCTGCCATGCACCACACCGTGCAATAACATGTTTCACCATCACAATTAACATCTATCTAGTAGAGTCAACAACTAGTGTAGGTACAAAACAGGTAAAAGATAATACAAGAAATGCTGATGAAATGATAATAGTGACATAAATGTCTCATCGTCCAACACACAGAAATACATAGTCAATATCTGAGTAGATAAACTGGAATACTCATCAAGTCTCAAATACAAATATCTGACAAAAAGGAAATAAGGCACGCAACCTTTACAACTTCTAGAACAAGACTCTCAAATGTCTATACCAAAGAAAACCCTAAGTGGAGCCCCAAATAAAACATATAACTAACGAGACAGCTGAAGCTAGAATGCATCGCCATCAACCTGCGACTCTCCGAGCTCCTGGCTCGTTACCTAAAAGGGGGAGGGACAACGAGCGTCAAGCGCTAGCGAGTAACATCACAACCAACCCCAAGGGAAAAGGGCTCGTTGTATAAGAAAATACAGTGAGTATATAATAGATCTAAAATCATTTATCTTACTAAAGAGGGTTTTAGTATTTAGAAATTTACAACACGAGCATAGGTACGTCGAGCGAAATAATCCAAACAAGGAAACCCTCATGTATATACCTTGTATCTCAAATTGTAAATCTCTAAAACACCAAACCCGAGGTTCTAGTACAGAAACAATAATAAAAGAAATACAGCAAATCTCAGAACAGTATACAGTGCCATACCATAGCTAACATGAATATCATGTTATTACTTACATAAGTGTCATGTCAATATCATGTCGTGAACTTCTGTGAAGAGGTCATGTGCAGGGTTAAGGACCTTACACGAGGACTGTGAAATGGTGAAAATATCACTGGGATACATAGTGAAATCTACCTATATCAATTCATAGTCAATACAGTGTATATATCCATAATTGGTACCCTCAGGTCTTCTATCATGACTGGGTACATAGTAAGACCAAATACTAATGTCAGATAGTCCAGGAAATCACTCGAACCTGAACAAATATTCAAAAATGTACAAAATAGGGAAAATAACCTGAAATAAAATTTACAAAATTTCTACAATAACAAGAGTTCTAAAGTTCTGGGAAAATATAGCTAGTCTCAAGCATGAAATCCATATTCCCAATATTTCAAAATACAGGAGAAACAAATTGGAAACGTTTTAAATGACAGTAAAACATGGTTAAGCTCTTGTTTAAGAAAACTCAGATCTAGATCTTTATTGGACAAAACGTTGGTAAACTTTCATAAACTGAAATATCGATTCTTGCAATCTATAATGTAAAGAACTTATTTTTATACGAAAATACCTGTTGGGCTCTTCAAAAACTCATGAAAAATCAAAATAAAACCATAGAAAATAGGGGTGAGGGATTGGGCGAGATGATACTCGCCTTTGGTGAGCAACGGATCGCTGAAACTGAAGGAGAATGCTTTCCTTCGCTGGATCTCACTAAGAGCTGTTGCAAATCCTCAAGAACTACTCCCAAATCACCAGTAGAGAAGATTAGGGTTTAAGGGAAGAGAGAGGGGGCTAGGGTTTTGATTTCAGAACTCCAAGAGGCTCTCTCATGAACAATAGCATATATACCAACTCACAAACCCGACCCAAAACCCATTTGAACCCAAACTGAGAAAACACTCAGATTGTTGTTCGGTCGATCGACGCGGTCGACCGCCACGGTCGACCGCACAGCACAAAATGCCTGTTGCTAGGCATTTCACCTGCTGGCCTTCACACTCGGTTTCTCTCACTTGTAAACACCTGCTGGGTTCCCAAACACTGATAAATATACATATCTGATATATATACATGATTATTCCTCATAAGAGAAGTATTCACTATTAATAATTCACATATATTTATTATAAAATTTTCGGGGTTTTACATTCATGACCTTACAACATTGGTAAGCTCAAGGTCCATGAGAAGAAGATCAAGAAGAAGGAGGAATTGCCCCTAAAGGCAACCGAGGAGCCATCTCA